CTGAGTTTTGGAGTAGAAGGGTTTACAAAGTACATTATCAACTATTTTTTTATATTTTTGTGCAAGCATGTGCTAAAGTAACTTGTTACACTGCTAAACCAGGACATTTGTTTAGAGGCATGTCACAATGTACACTTCCGTACAATGAAATTATGAATTAATCGTAATTCTTCGTAACCTTTAACTTCTAATGAAGAATCTGGCAAACGTTTTGTTGGTTTTGATGATACTGTCCCCGTAAATCAATTCTCGCTCTCCCCCACATAACGAATATTCCTTAATATTGTCACTTGCATTACGTAGCCATTTGTATTCCATTTTATACGTTTTATAAAATATCATTCCCTAAGAATTAACTGACCATGATCCGAAGCACTTGATAAATTTTTTTATAAATTCAATATGAGGTGGTATTCCGTAAAGGAGTTTTCGAATTATGAATTTTAAGAAGTAAATTCTGTTCTGATATGGGGCGTATGCAGTTTAGCAAAAAGCTTTTATTTTGGCATCCTGAAAATCGAAGATCTAATATGCAGTATGAGCAGCAGACAATGAAATCAAGCTGAATAAAATGAAATTACATGTATTCGAGCTGTTCCAGAAATATCTGTTGCGGATTATGTTAAGACAAGTCAAATTTTCATAATCTATACTGTAAAAATCGAAAAATCTGCGAAAATAAAATTTGAAGCAAAAAATGAATTAAGTATGCATGGCACGTTAAATACTAGGACTGTGTTTTCTTTAATAAATGTGATTGTGCCTTTAAAGTAGTAAAATCTTGAACTTAATCTTAATATCCTAAGCTGAAATTTTACAACTGCTTGCTGTTAATACAGTGCTTGTATTACTGCGTTTCCTTAAAGCGGTTAAAAGTATTAATTTAATGTTACTAATTGCAGCTGCACTTCAGTTTACATGAAAAAATATGTCTTAATAGCAATTACTTGATGAATCTGCATGAAATTTAAGAAGCGCATATTATTCCATTGATTCCTTTCACTTATCTCTACGTAACGGCTCTGTATAAAACAAGTTGCGATATAACAATTCCACCTAGTTCGATGTGACTCTTTAACAAGTAACAAAATATAGTAAGCTTTAATAATAGCAACCAGGTAGGTACGCTAACGCTGATGAATGAGCAGAATGATGAGATCCATCCGGCAATGTAGTTGCTCAGATGTCTTGAATCCCTGACCTGCTCAAATACTCCCACCTACTAGGGTTAGCGACAATACCGCACGCTGTAAAAATTGGCCTTTGAAGGGTTAGGTGCTTGTTAAATATGCGCTGTTTTTAATGATCTGAGGCTGCTACGTCAAATGTGGGAAAATAATCTATTATAAAACTTGGTGTCTCCTTAATATTTAGATGATGATGCTTCAGTTCTTTCAAGTGGCTCCTGTCGACTCAGCCTTTAAAATAACACAATTCTTCGTGATGGCTTAAACATAATGATCAGTATCCCAGCGCAAATTTCCTGAAAAGAAGCACGACAGGATCGGGAAAGTTGCACAGAAGACCTATATTCCAGCGGTTTCTAATTTTCCTTTTTTTACTTTCTTAGATTAACTGCGATAAATGAAAGACATAGAGTGGAGATTATTTTGTATCGGTGTAACGCTGATCTCCCTCTAGGCTTTCTAGTCGTTCTTTGATGCATGTTTTCACATTCTGGTCTAAGTCTCAATGAAGTATGTATCACTAATGATAGTTTTGAGTTTCTGTAGATGTGAGTGAAACCGCTAAATGTTCTGCTCTCTTTTAAGAGAATTTTTCAATCTTCCGTGTCGAAGCAATTTTCAGAGAAAGATAACAGAATGGGATGATAGGGTGGAACAACTTGGTCAAAATATTATAGCCCATTGAAAACGAAGGCTGCACAATACGTTAATGGGAGATAATTATAATGAGCCTAACGAAGTGAGGCGTTTATTCTTGAAATAAAGTAAGTGTTACATTCTTATGATTTATACATTAGTACCCAGCAAACTCTCGTAGCCTGTGTCATCAGACCGGGTTCCTTAGGTTTTGTTGTTGGAGATTTATCGGTTGATGTTCACGTTTGTCAACTGCCTATCAGCTGATCATTCTTATTTCTCATATCTAGTCTCTTCAGTGCAGCGTAAGTACTTACATTACAAAACTTAAGCGATACTGTCCATTTGTTTGTTCCTGTGAGAGTCACTATTTCAAAATACAGAAAGTCAGTCAGTAAGTCAGTTTCGATTACCGTTTGTCTTTTTGGATCATAGAGGCAGATGCATCGGACAGTGCTTCTAACGATTGCAATCCTCTGATAGCACTTGAGTCTGAAACAGAGTGTGCTGAGACATTTGATCTAATCATTCTTGCCCTTCACGGAATTTTAAGCCAATCGACTTCCTAAGCTGCAGCTGATTCATCATGATTTCCTTTATGCAATAATTGTCTTCCTGAAATCTCAAAAAATAACGGAAGTATGAATGCCCTTCCTTGTGGTTTCTGAGAGTGTATTTCGGTCTTTCGCTTGTCTCACATAGGAAAGATTCGAACGTTCTTCTCTGTCTGTAAAGAGC